GCCATAGTGTTTTGATTATTGTAGATTTATATTTTTAACCCAGTGAATGTTCTGCCTTCAGCTTTGTTATTTTTTCTCCAAGACTACTGTAGATATTCAAGGTCCTCTGTGATTTCATGCAAATTTTAGAATGATTTTTTTTCCACTTCTGCAAAAAATAACTTTGGAATTCTGATAGGGATTTTGTTGAATCTGGAGATCACTTTGGGTATGGATATTTTAACAATATTAAAATTTCCATTGCATGAACATGGACTATCTTTCCATTTATTTGTGTCATTTTCAATTTCTTTCATTGAAGTCTTACAGTTTTAAGGATACAGATGTCTCACTTCCTTGGTTAAATTTATACCAAAATGTTTATTATTTTTGATGCTATTATAAATGGCATTGCTTTGTAAAAAAAAATAATTTAGGTAATTTGCTGTTAAAAGATAGAAACAAAACTGATTTTCACATGTTGATTTTATATCCTGTAACTTTACTGCATTTGTTTGGCACTCCTAACAATTTTTAGTAGAATCTTCAGTTTTCTGTATATCAGACTATGTCATCTACAAATAGTTTTATCCCCTTTCTTTCCAATTTGAATGCCTTTTATTTTATTGATTTTATTTTTTTTCTTGCTTAATTGTTCTAGCTAGAAATTACAGTAGCATTTTGGAAAGAAGTGATTATTGTGTCCATCACTTGTCTTGTTCCTGAACTTAGAGGAAAAGTTTTTAACTATTCACCGTTAAGTGTGATGTTAACTATTGGCTTGTCATATACAGCCTTTATTATGTTGGCAAACATTCTTCTACAGCAAATTCATTGAGAATTCTTATCAGGAGGAGATGTTCAATTATTTCAAATGCTTCTTCTATATGAATTGACATAAGCAGGTGATTTTTATATACTCTGTTAATAGTGTATTACCTCTATTGGTTTATACCAATTTTGCAATCATATAATTTATTCATTCATTTAACAAATATCTATCAAGTGCTTCCATATTTTATAGTTATGATTTTTACCCATAATAGGCCTCAGAAATATTACCTGAAAGGTTTATTGAATTAATGTGATAAAAGTATACTATTTGCTTCTTTTGCCTATTCTTTTACCTCCCATGTCTGAACATCACACTTTCCATTATAATATCATTCAGGGCGAGGAAATGATCTCAATTTAGAGTATCAGAAAATAAAAAATACATAATTTTTTTTTCTTTTGGACATTACTGCTTATTTTGAAAGTGATGTATCAGAGTGTATCTGGAAACCCCCCAATTAACAAATAAAAAATTATTTAAAATAATCTAAGAACTCATTAAATCAGCTGAGAGTGCAGCTAACCTA